ATCCAAACCCCGTGATATGATACGCTCTATCACACATAAGCCTCCTTATATCTTCCTCAAAACAGCCACCATACCTACCTATTATGGCATTTCCATAGCCATTTCGAGATATATTGCCATGCAACTTTCCACCGTTCCGTTTATTATGACACACTTCATCATTGTCATATTGCCTTGCATGATCATGTAGTTGACATCGTATTTGTGGCAAAGCCACCGCTCATATTTTTTATACATGTCACCCTTGAATCATTGCATATCCCGGTACATCGCCGGAGGCATTTCATATAGAGTCATATTTTGTTCTAGTATCGAGTTGTAATTTTTGAGTTGTAAATAAATAGAAGTGTGATGATCATCATTATTAGAGCATTGTCCCGTGTGAGGAAATAAAAAAATATAAAGGCCAAATAAAAAAAGCCAAAAAATGAGAGAAAAAAAGAGAAGGGACAATGTTACTATCCTTTTTCTACACTTGTACTTCAAAGTAGCACCATGATCTTCATGATAGAGAGTCTCTTATTTTGTCACTTTCATATACTAGTGGAAATTTCCATTATAGAACTTGGCTTGTATATTCCAACAATGGGCTTCCTCAAAATGCCCTAGGTCTTCGTGAGCAAGAAAGTTGGATGCACACCCATTTAATTTCTTTTGTTGAGCTTTCATACATTTATAGCTCTAGTGCATACGTTGCATGGCAATCTCTACTCCTCGCATTGACATCAATTGATGGGCATCTCCATAGCCCGTTGATTAGTCGCGTCGATGTGAGACTTTTTTCCCTTTTTTGTCTTCTCCACACAATCTCCATCATCATATTTTGTTCCACCTATAGTGCTATGTCCATGGCTCACGCTCATGTATTGCGTGAAAGTTGAAAAAGTTTGAGAATACTAAAGTATGAAACAATTGCTTGGCTTGCCATCGGGGTTGTGCATGATAGGAGCATTTTGTGTGACGAAAATAAAGCATGGCCAAACTATATGATTTTGTAGGGATGAGCTTTCTTTGGCTATGTTATTTTGAGAAGACATAATTTCTTGGTTAGTATGCTTGAAGTATTATTATTTTTATGTCAATATTAAACTTTTGTCTTGAATCTTTAAGATCTGAATATTCATGCCACAATAAAGAAAATTACATTGAAAACTATGTTAGGAAGCATTCCACATCCAAAAAATCTGTTTTTATCATTTACCTACTCGAGGACGAGCAGGAATTAAGCTTGGGGATGCTGATAGGTCTCCAACGTATCTATAATTTTTTTATTGTTCCATGCTATTATATTATCTGTTTGGATGTTTAATGGGCTTTAATAGGCTCTTTATATTATTTTTGGGACTAACCTATTAACCGGAGGCCCAGTGCCAGTTTCTGTTTTTTTGCATATTTCAGTGTTTCGCAAAAAATGAATATCAAACGGAATCCAAACGGAACGAAACCTTCGCGAGGATTTTTCTTGGAACAAACGCAATCCAAAAAACTTGGAGTGGAAGTCCAAGACGCAACGAGGCGGTCATGAGGTAGGAGGGCGCCCCCAGTCTCGTAGGCCCCACGGAGCTCCACCGACGTACTTGTTTCGCCTATATATACTCTTATACCCTAAAACATCCAGGGGAGCCACGAAACCACTTTTCCACCACCGCAACCTTCTGTATCCATGAAATCCCATCTTGAGGCCTTTTCCGGCGATCTGTCGAAGGGGGATTCGATCACGGAGGACTTCTACATCAACACCATAGCCTCTCCGATGATGAGTTAGTAGTTTACCACAGACCTTCGAGTCCATAGTTATTAGCTAGATGACTTCTTCTCTCTCTTGGGTTCTCAATACAAAGTTCTTCTCGAGTTCTTGGAAATCTATTTAATGTAATACTCTTTTGCAGTGTGTTTGCCGAGATCCGATGAATTTGTGGATTTATGGTCAAGATTATCTATGAACAATATTTGGTTCTTCTCTGAATTTTTATATGCATGATTTGTTATCTTTGCAAGTCTCTTCGAATTATCGGTTTAGTTTGGCTTACTAGATTGATCTTTCTTGCAATGGGAGAAGTGCTTATCTTTGGGTTTAATCTTGCGCTGTCCTTTCCCAGTGACAGTAGGGGAAGCAAGACACGTATTGTATTGTTGCCATCGAGGATAAAAAGATAAGGTTTATATCATATTGCTTGAGTTTATCCCTCTACATCATGTCATCTTGCCTAAATCATTACTCTATTCTTATGAATACTCTAGATGCATGATAGATAATGGTCGATGTGGAGTAATAGTAGTAGATGCAGAATCGTTTCGGTCTACTTAACACGGATGTGATGCCTATATTTCATAATCATTCCCTAAATATTCTCATAACTATGCGTTCTTCTATCAATTGCTCGGCAGTAATTTGTTCACCACCGTAATACATGTTATAATGAGAACTAGTGAAACCTATTGCCCCCGGATCTATTTTATATCATATAAGTTTCCGATCTACAATTCTACTTTACTATTTATTTTATTTTGCAATCTTTACTTTTCAATCTATACGACAAAAATACCAAAAATATTTATCTTATTATCTTTATCAGATCTCACTTTTGCAAGTGGCCGTGAAGGAATTGATAACCCTTTATCACGTTAGTTGCAAGGTTCTTGATTGTTTGTGTAGGTACTAGGTGACTTGCATATAGTTTCTTACTAAATTGATACCTTGGTTCTAAAAACTGAGGAAAATACTTACGATACTTTGATGCATTATCCTTTCCTCTTCAATGAAAAACCAACGCATGTTTAAGAGGTAGCATATCTTCAGTTAAACTAGCCTCTGCTGCATTATTAGTCTTCGTCTCATTCACGCCATGTATGAAGAATTGGCGCAGCCAATTCAGTGTACTCTTCTCAAGGAAAAGACAATCAAGATGTTGATTTCGATAGGCCCGTGCTAAAGCCTTGAGTGGAGCATCTCCTCGCGCAAGTGCTGGAAACCAGCAGCGAGGCAGAGTAGAGGCAACCCTGCTGACGCTTCGAGTAATCGAGCGTGAGAGGATTTGCATCTCAACCGCCTCCAATCTCCCCTCTTATGCCTATACTTATCAAATTCAAATCACTACTATGCAGAGACAAAATAATGCACATATCCCTCCGCCGCCGCAAAATAGCCGTCGCGCAGTCTGCCAATACTCAGAACTATGGGCATTAATTCTCCAAAATCAGCTTTTGAGAAACTTCCCCCAAAATCAGCTTCCTGCAAAATCACCCAGAATCAGCTGCCGAGTTCTTTTCTAAGATTGTGGTCTGAGATTATGGGATGAGTTGTGTGTTAAAATGTCTGTAATGTCCCTGAACTAAAAATATGTGTTGAATTGCTAAGACTTACAGTAGTTGTTTTAGAAAATTTATATCGAATATGAGCATGAAAACGAGCATACATCCGTTCAGCCATCAAGCAAATCATCTACTCCTACCAAACAAAAAACGTCCATCCATTTTCCATGTACAGAGAAAGAGAAGAACTAGGAACATAAACGAACAAGAAGGAATAGAGCTGCACCCAGAACAGAACAGAGAAGACAGAGAGGGGATGAGAGCTCAGCCTAGGCGACGGCCCGAGCAAACTCCGGCGAGGCGGCGTCGGGTGTCGAGGCCAGCGGCCGAGGCGGAGTAGCGGCTGAGGGCCTCGAGGCGAGCAAGCGGGGAAGGAGTGGCCGGGGCGGAGCAACGGCTGCGGGCCTCGAAGCGAGCGGGCGGGCGAGAGCAGCGGCTTCAGGCGAGCGGGAGGGGCGGGCTGTCGGGCGGCGCGGCGGCGGCGGCGGCCCTGTAACCCTATCGCGAGCGCGAGTGTGGAGGTGGGGGACCGAGCGAAGGAGAGGGACGAGTCGTGCGACTCGTTTTTCTGGGCGCGGCCGGCCACCGCCCACCAGTGGCAGTTCTTTGGTAATTTGCCTCTCAAATAGGGGTACTATCTTAAGTCGAAACGTTTTGTTTTGTGGGAGCGTCCAGAATCGTCAGAAGCGAGGTCTCCAGACGATTTTCGATTGCACTACTGATTCCGGCGATTTTCAAATGATTTTGGATAATCAGATCCAGTTCTTTTGAGCTTTCGATTTTTCAGACCCAGATTGGCCGTTTTGATTTTTCAGACCCAGATTGGCCGCACTAGCAACGGTGGATAACTGGCATGTGCACATGACCTATAGAATTCACACATCTAGCATGCCTCGCCACATCGTTTATTTACCATACACTGGCTGCTGGTTTGCGTAGACGGGAAAATTTCAGGTGATACCAAAACTTAGGTGATACCGTGATATGAATTTCACAACCGTTGGATCTCAAATTCGACGGACATCTAAAGAGCTATTGTACCTGCACATAATTTTGAGATTCTCCGATGGCTTTTCTGCAAAATGTTTAGTAGCTTACCCTCGGCGATTTATGTACCGAATGAGGGCGTTTAATAACAGCACCGAAAACCCCCTGCGTCTATCTATTGTATAACTAAAAATAGCGCAGCTTCTTCCACGCCGGAGTCCTTCCCACGGCAAGGGATCCGCCGTGACCAGTTTCATCCCGCACCGGTGCCGCCGCTCCAGCCACAGCTCACAGGTTATGGTTTCAGCGCTGCAATACACGCCTGCTTGGCTAGGCTAGCGAACGAGGCAACACATTAGCAACGCGACACCCAAACTTTCACCCGACCAGTAACATAAACATCAACTGGTCACCTGTGATTGATAAAAAAAATCTCCGATAAAGACCTGTTATTGATCATGGTATGGTAGTTCCTATCCTACAAGGATGCAGCTTGCACAAGAAGCGTGTTCGAATTTATCGCGTCTTTGCCGAGGGTGGAGTGACAGGCTTACAACGTGGAGCAACAAGAACTGCCAAGTGCTAAGCAATGAAGGGATAGACTGACGTTAATCAACAGAAACAACAACCAAGCAAGAAAAACTGTAGCAGTTCCTCTCGGCAAAATTTGTCAGAAAACAGAGTCTAACAGGCTCGAAACTCTATCTGATCAGTGATTGCGCACGCTGCAGACGCTGGCTTTCCTTCAACTTCTCCTTTGGCGACAGTTTGTCGCCGATCAGTGTAACCTTCCAGCAATCAGCTTGGAGGACGAAAACTGACCCAGCTTTCGGCACAACTGCAGGTTTCAAAGTGAGCTTCTTAGAAAGCAATCCCATCAGGTCTGCAGTAACTAATACTAGAATTCATGAATGCAAACAACATGGTATAATGGCAAGAACCAGCCTATGGGGAGAGCAGTTCCGTTGAGTGAGTAAGATACAATGTTCTGAGCAACAAGCTGAACAACCATGTCTGCTTGTATTTCTGGCATATAAAATATTCAAGTGTGGACCTCACGGGAAAAACCAGAATGTGTTCCATATGGATGGAGAGTTGCAGTAAGATTATTTAGTATGATCAATGGGAAAAGGAGGTATCGTATTAGCAGTAGAAAAGAAAAGCCGACAAAGGATTGTAACAGGCATCACCCAGAACAAGAAAAAAGATTGTAAAAGATATGCTCTCAAGGAAACTATAAATCACTTCATCCAAGCCTGTTCAAAACATTGATTAGGAAGTGGGATAGTAAGTACTCCGTACCTCGGAAGCGGTTGTCCTCCGATATAATTCCAAAAGTCTCTGCAGTGTCCCGAATCATGATGCCACTTACACCTTGATATGAGGCTGCTTTGCATTGTGCCACTGGGAATGGGCAAAAGAATAACATAAAAACAATGACAGAATAAATACAGGCAGTCTAATAATCCAGTATGCAACTATGTCAAGTATATGAATCACCTATTATAAGGGCCCCATGAAGATCTGCTGAAAGGAGGTTTTCAGACAATTGCTTTTTCCTATGGAGAAAACAGGTAACATCAATACCTCATACATTGTACTGAAAATGCATAATAAAAGGTTAGCCCAAGTCTGGGAAAGGTTAAGCTGATTACATTTCTTGAATTTTAGTGCTCAAATTTTCAAAAAAAAAAACTTTCAGAACTCTATTTACCAAACTTAAATACAACAACTTAGTTAAGCTATTATCTAATGCAATCAGGCGCATATCAAATAATTTAGTCTCTACACTTTCTGTAGAAATATCATTTTTGGGTGGGCTTGATTTTATTAACAGCATAAAGCCTATGTGTTACTGTACTGTGATCATAAGTCAAAACAAACTGATAATCACAGAGTAGCACAAATGCACCAATATAACATTACAGCCATAGAATCCTTCAAAAATAGAGACCAATTAAAAACGGTCTAAAAACAATTAGGTCATATATGTAAAACTTTGTTGTGCAAATTGCCAGAGTTTACAAATTCTTGCGCATAATACTAAATTGTGTAACAAAAAGTAGGGCTTTTTACCAGGGCCTTAACTCTGACTGACCCAATCTGGGAGTTGACAACCCACTCGTGGGTGCCACCGTGCCAATTAGGCATGAGGTGACTTTAAAAATGTGGGTCCACCTTTAGGAGTGATCCAATTTAGTTGTTTTCTCATAAGACATGGAAACGATCACAAAGATCTGCAGACATGTAACTAATCTTCACCGGGGTTAACAACGTCTAGAACATGTTGTTTATGACTAGTCAGCATACTTTGCCAGCATGTACGTATTTACGAGTCAATCAGTTCATGCGTGTAGACAAAGTGGCATGATCACGAGTCTACATGTTTGGCCACTCAGGTAAGGACCATGGTGAAAATGCGTTATTTTTTAAACATAATCTGGTACTATGCACAAACATTTGCAAATCCTCCTAGTTTGCACTACAAGCGTCGAATTAAATGGTAACAACAAAGTATTAATCACAAGCTTTTTATCTTTCCTTGCAAAAGCAAATAGTGTGTAGATGGAAACGAGGCCTGAAAGTAACAGAAAGGAAAGATAGTGAGGGATCCATACGGGGTGCTTTTTGTAAGCTCTCACATATACTCTTTCCACATTTCATGTATTGGCTTATAGAGGTCAAACCTGCAAGAATAAGAATCACATGTAAAAACTGCATAAACTCCAAAGATACCACATGTGGGGATTTTTGGAAGGATATATACATGTATCATTCATATCATATAAAAATGCGATGATAGAAGAAGAAACTTATATCTGCACACTAATCTTGAACAAGAATTACCTGCGGAATGTATCATGTAAATCAAATGACCCACATTTCTTATGTTGCTTCAGTGACATGTGTCTTTTTGATCGCTTTGAGTGGGTCAACAAAGACTGTGATTGTGCATCCACTAATATAGGACCCCTTTGAACATAGTTATCCAAAAGAATCCCTCTATCCAGCTTTAACTTTTTGGATCCCTTGGCGATTCTTCCGGCTTCTCCACCTTTCTGAATTATGTCATATACAACATTGTGAACTATGTCCGTGCTGTCGAGATCCTACACCAGTTCACCCAAAAAATATTAAAGGTTATTTCAACCAATATAAGTTAAATTTGAGAGCCATAACGCATATCATGGGATCTTACCGAATAGTCATCTTGGGACAAATTTTCATGGAGAACAAATGAAAGCTCAGAGTATATAGGGTTGACTTCTCCACCTAAAAGGTAAAAAAAGTTACCTGTTAATTTTGGAACACAGCCACACGAACATACAAGACATGGATTTACCTGAGGAACCAGAAGTGTTTTGTTGATGACTGGAATTTCCTTGAGCTGAGGAGCAGCAGCAGTATGAGAAAAACTGGTGACATATAAAATCTGCATCAATGGAACGGAGAATGGTGAACAAAATAAAAACCTCTAAATGTAGGGAGCAGGGCAGAAGTTCGAGAAGGAGTGAATTTGGGAGTTTTTCCTTTAATCCGTGCATCAAACTTGGGCTTGGGGGTACTATCTTTGTTCTTCGGGCACTTAGGCTGTTCATCTTTCAGCTTCTTAGCTTTAGCTGCTGCATACCGTTGTTGAATGGCTTCTAAGGTCCGTTTCTTCTGATCAGAAATAGTTGACATTGATCCTACGCCAGATCTGAGATTAAAGCAAGTTAAAAGCAGTGGTGGAGCCAGGAACAAATCATAGGGTGTGCCACCTTAAAAAATCAACATCACACGAGTAATACAAAATTGCCCAAAAGAGCAATATAAATAGTTTAATCAAGTCTCACAACATTAGAGTTCACTATATATGTTTGAAATTTGCAACTACCAACTACTCCCTCTGTTGTACTAAATCAGCGACACTTGATATGGAACGGAGGGAGCTCCGAACCTGAACACTAAAGTAATACTGAAAGTCTGAAAGAGTAGTTTCTACAATCACACTAACCAGTGGCGGAGCCACGATTGAACATTTAAATCATCTATGCACTGTGACAATAAGACAATGCATACATCAATTCACCAAAGACAAAACTACCGGCAAGAAAATTACCAGCGATTGGAGGGGCGCCGCGGCGGAAGTAGGCAGCAGCAGGCAACACACAGCTGGCGGCGGAAGAATCACGGGGCCGGGGCGCAGCGGAGGAGGCCCTTGTCGCCTCGTCG